CCTAATAGTAAATAGACAAAAGATAAAGTAAGGAATCACAGTATATCACTAGAGACAATCATTTAATCACAAAGGATGACAGCAAGAATGGAAGAAAGGAACAAAAGATCTATAAAGCAACCAGAAAACAATGAACAAAATCGCAGCAGTAAGTCCTTACCTATCAATAATTACCTTGAATGTAAATGGACTACATTCTCTGATCAAAAGACACAGGTTGACTGAATAAGATACAAAAATAAGACTCAACTACATGCTGTGTACGAGAGACTCACTTCACCTTTAAAAAATGGACGCACATAGATTGAAGTGAAAGAATGGAAAAGAGCTGGGCACAGTGGCTCACATTTGTAATCCTGGGATGCCAAGGCAGGAGGATCCCCTGAACTCAGGAGTTTGAGACCAGCCTGGGCAACATGGTGAGACCCCGTCTCTACAAACAATTAAAAAATTAGCTAGGCATCGTGGTGTGTGCCTGTGGTCACAGCTACATGGGAAGCTGAGATAGGAGAATAGCTGGAGCCTGGGAGGTTGAGACTACAATAAGCCATGTTCACGCTACTGTACTCCAGCATGGGATGTAGAAGGAGACCCTGAAAAAGGGAAGGGAAGGAAAGGGAAGGGGAAAGGGGAGGGAAAAGAGAAGGGAAGGGAGGGAAAGGAGGGAGGTAGGGAGGGAGGGAAGGAAAGAAAGAAAGAGAGAGAGAGAGAAGGAAAGGAAAGAAAGAAAGAGAGAAAGAAGAATGGAAGAGAATATTTCAAGTAAATAGAAACCAAAAAAGAGCAGGAGTTGCTCTTTTCAGATAAAACAGACTATAAGTCAAAGGCTGTAAAATGAGTCAAAGTAGGTCATTATATAATGGTACAGGGAGCAATTCATCAAGAAGATATAACAACTGTAAACATACATGCATCTAACATGGGAGCACCTAAATATATTAACATATTAATATTAATAGATCTGGAGATAGACTATAATATAATAATAATGGGGGATATCAATAACCTACTTTCAACCATAGACAGATCATCCAGGCAGAAAATCAGTAATGAAACACTGGCCCTAACAGACATATGTAGAGAATTCAATAAAACAGCAACAAAATACACATTCTTCTCAAGGGCCCACAGAACATTCTCCAAGTTATATGATATGCCACAAAACAAGTTTTAATACATTTAAGAAGACTGAAATCATATCAAGTATCTTTTCTGACCATACTGGTTTGAAACTAGAAATCAATAATAGAAGGAATCTTGAAAAAAAATCATAAATATCTGGAAATTAAATAACATGCTCCTAAACAACCAATAGGTCAAATAAAAGGGAAATTAAAAAATATTTTGAGACAAATGAAAATGGACATACAACACATCAATACTTATGGAAGGTGGTAAAAGCAATTATTTTTTTTTTTTTTTTTTTTTTTTTTGAGACAGAGTCTTGCTCTGTCGCCCAGGCTGGAGTGCAGTGGCCGGATCTCAGCTCACTGCAGGCTCCGCCTCCCGGGTTCATGACATTCTCCTGCCTCAGCCTCCCGAGTAGCTGGGACTACAGGCGCCCGCCACCTCGCCTGGCTAGTTTTTTTTTTATTTTTTAGTAGAGCCAGGGTTTCACTGTGTTAGCCAGGATGGTCTCGATCTCCTGACCTTGTGATTCGCCGGTCTCGGCCTCCCAAAGTGCTGGAATTACAGGCTTGAGCCACCACGCCCGGCAGGTAAAAGCAGTTTTAAGAGGAAAGGAAGTTTCAGCAATAAAGACATATAACAAAAAAGATGAAAGATCCAAAATAAACATCCTAGTGTTACAACTCAAGGAATAGAAGAACAAATAAAACCCAAAGTTAGTAGAAGGAAAAAAATAATAATGATCGGAACAGAAAAAAATGAAAGAGACTAGAAAAACAATAGAAAAGATGAATGAAACTAAGAGCTGGATTTTTGAAAAGATAAACAAAATCCACAAACTTTTAGCTGGATTAAGAAAAGGAGAAGATTCAAATGATATCAGAAATGAAAGAGATGTTATAACTGATACCACAGAAATACAAAGAATTGCCTTTTACAGCCACAGAGCGCAACTCAGCTCAGTGATGTTAAAATGCTGATGAACTTAAGGTCTGGTGTGTGTTTGAAAGAATCAGTGAAGCTTTTCTTTTTTTCTTTTCTTTTTTTTGTTTTGTTTTTTTGAGATGGAGTATTGCTCTGTTACCCAGGATGGAGTGCAATGGCGAGATCTTGGCTCACTGCAACCTCCACCTCCCAGGTTCAAGTGATTCTTCTGCCTCAGCCTCCCAAATAGCTGGGAATACAGGCGTGTACCACCACACCTGGTTAATTTTTGTATTTTCAGTGGAGATGGGGTTCCACCATGTTGGCCAGGCTGGTCTCGAACTCAGCCTCAGGTGATCTGCCCACGTGGGCACAAAGTGCTGGGATTACAGGTGTGGGCCACCGTGCCCAGCCCATCAAAGCTTTTCAAGTAGATAAGGAGTATTTGAATATGGGACCACTGATATATTCAGAACAGAAGTTTTTGCTTTCTTTGTCTCTTTCATGGTGGTAGCTGGGGTGAACTGAGATGGTCCCAATGTTTAATAAGGAATGTTTAGATAAGAATTTTTTGTTTCTGTCCTGTGGTTGAGTTGGTGCCATAGAGAATTTCCATAAAATTCAATTCCATTACTTAAAATAGTTTTTTTTTTTTTTTAACTAGTTTTTCTATCAACCAGCCCCAGTCTGAAACTTGAGACAGTGTTAACACAAAAGAGCATACTCTACCTACAAAGACATGACCTAGAGTAGTTCTTCAAGCAGGTCAGTTTTAGGACACATTAATTCTATCCAACTAGACTAGCTATTTTACAACTATGGAAGACAACTTTATAAACTCTGCTTTAACTTACAAAGGTTATTTAATAATCCCATTGTTTTGATGATTCTAAAGATTATAAGTTTATTTTTACAGTCTACTCTTAAATATTACTGTTGAGGCATATATACAGCAATGGTGGACTTAATTCTGCCTAAGATATCTGAGCATCTGTACTAAAATATGAAGCTACCTTCATTTGGTTGGTATGCTAAAGAAATTTTGTAAGTATCTCATTTTTAAAAAATTTGGTTTGTGTGTTTTGTGTGCTCAGGAATTTTTCCACAGTACCAGAGATCACTGTAGTGATTAAATTTGACCCTTTTGACAGAAAACAGAATAACAGATTCCTAGGGATAAAAAAGGGGTGACTGCAAAGGAACATGAGGGAATTTTTGGAGTGATTCTACACCTTGTTCTACAACTATTCTACATCTTGATTATGTTATGATTATGAATTTGTCAAATCTCATACTTAACGGTAAATTTTAGTGAATATAAGCTCATACTTAAATAAACATGACTTTACAATTAAAACAAAAGAAATATGAAGGCTCATAAGAGACTGCTATGACCAATTATATGCCAACAGATTGGATAACCTAGAATGGATAAGTTCCTAGACACATACAACCTATCAAGACTAAATCATAAAGAAATAGGTAATCTGAACAGACCAATAATAAGAGATCAAATCAGTAGTTAAGTCTCCCACTAAACAAAACCCCCCGGACCTGATGGCTTCACTACTGAATTCTACCAAACATTTAAAGAAGAACTAATACAAATCCTTCTCAAATTCTTCCAAAATACTGAAGAGGAGGGAATATTTTCAAACTCAATTTAGGAGGCCAGCATTATCCTGATTCCAAAGCCAAACAAATACACTACAAGAAAAGAAAACCAAAGGTCAATATCCCCAATGAACATAGACGCAAAAATCCTCTACAAACTCTAATTGCTAAGGCTATACCTTACATAAGGCAGAATGTTCAACAGACTTACTTGTGAATTATCTAAGCCCCATAATTTACTTTTCTTTCCTTAAATGCAATTTCAGCCAATGGTTCCCATTGTCCTCCCCATCTTCTTTTTTGGCTTTTTAAAAGACAGGGAGTCCCTGGATCCTGGATCTTGTACCTATCCTCTTTTTTAAAACAAAAACAAAACACTGAGTTTCTCTATGTTGTCCAGGCTCGTCTCAAACTCCTGGGCACAAGTGATCCTCCTGTCTCTGCTTCCCGAGTAGCTGGGATTACAGGTGCACACTACTGTGCCAGCTCTGGCACCTAGTCCCTAGTTGGATACTTAATCCTTACAAGTCATTTGCAGAAAATATTTTTATTTCTATAATGATATTTGATGCCAAAGTTATGTTTCCAGCCTATCTCCTCTAGCCATCTTTTAGATTCGGAATGTAAAATAAATTTAATATAAACAATGTGGTTTTGGGGTACGAGAACGAATGACAAATAGCAAAATAAAAACTATTTTGGGGTACGAGAACGAATAACAAATATCAAAATAAAAACTATTTTCAACTAATTTTAGAAGTTGGGCACGGTGCCTCGGGCCTGTAATCCCAGCACTTTGGGAGGCTGAGGCTGGTAGATCGCCTGAGGTCAGGAGTTCGAGACCAGCCTGACCAACATGGTGAAACCCCCGTCTCTACTAAATACAAAAAATTAGCCAGACATGGTGGCGCATGCCTGTAATCCCAGCTACTCAGGAGGCTGAGACAGGAGAATCGCTTGAACCCGGGAGGCGGAGGTTGCAGTGAGCCGAGATCGCGCCACTGCACTCTAGCTTGGGTGATAGAGTTAGACTCTGTCTAAAAAAAAAAAAAGAAAAAAAAGAAATTTTAGATTTCCTATTGTTCTCTTTAATCGCAATAAGCCTGACTGAACTATATCTCACAAGGACCTCTAGAACACTAATTCAGTAGAGGAGGGTTGCAAGATTGATTGTAACAGAGTAAAAGAGAACTTAAGGTGTGTTAACACAATTGGGTGACGAGAGGTCATGATACATGAATAAAGACTGTAATTCTTGTTTTACTCCATTTGTCAATCTCAGCAGTGCAAGGTGACTTCTAGGCGACTCTATAAACCAGTATCACAGGACCTACCTCCTCACAAACTGTAGAAAAGCGGTTGAGGAACTGTACAGTGTGCACCACAAATTGGTTTAGAAAAGCCACCGTTCTTTTCTGTTGAATAGCTGGCACCTGTGTTACGTAAAAACAAACATGGTTCATACAGGAGGAACGTACACAGTGCAAATCTTTTCATATCTGGAAATAATCACGAGGCACTTTGCTGTGTGATACGAATTTCTTGAAGGACTGGGAATAGTCATTAACTTGTTTTCCTAAACTGTAGGTGGGGTGTCCGAAGACGACAGAGGTGCATAAAAGTTTGAGAACAGGCTCTAGACTCACTGGTACGAATTTTGGCAGGCAGAAGCAACACACATAAACACACACAAAAACTTGGGGGCTGAAAAAGAGGTAGGGCTAGCTATCACAACCGGCGTCTGTCGCCGGCGGCACAGAGACACGAGAGATGGGAAGCGAAAGTTGGAAGATGCACACCGTCTCCTTAATCAGTTCAGGAGGGACCCCATTTGAAGGTGGACTGCGGAGCTCTCTCTCCTGAGGCCGGCAGAAGGGCCCGGGGCCGTGACAGAGTGGGGACCCGGAAGGTGTGGTCTCCCCGGGAAGCTGCGTCTTCCCCATCCTCCTCCCAGTGGAGGAGTTTAGTATCGTCTCTTACAAACCTTGGTCAGGTCTATGCCTGACCCCATGAGAGGAAGCCCGTCCTCATCCATCTCCTCTGCGGGCGGGAGACCCCGAGTTCACCCACAAACCCCTCCCAGATGGGGCCGGACCAACCCGGTAATCGCGTCTCAACTTTCCCCCCAAGTCCCCGCCTCCGGGGCCCTTCCCGCCGGAAGAAAATGCCTCCGCTCACTAATCACTCGGCGACTTCCGGAGAGCCCGCCTCCTCGCTCGGCATTCTGGGATTGGTAGTTTTAGTCCAGATTGTGACGTGAATTTCGCGATGGTGCAAGGATGCAGTTATAGCAGTAAAATCTTAGGAGGCAAACAAAACAAAACAAAGCCAGAAGTTGCGTCCCTTTGAGGTTACCCCTACTTAGTCCTGTCTGTTATATAACGGCTCCGTCATTCCTTGAGCAACAACTTTTTTTTTTAATCCTAAGTGTCATATATACTTTGCTAGGCTTTTACTGTGAAAACAAAGATTGAGTTTGATTGCTGCATTGGGGAGGTTTATGCTCTGAAGAATGAGAAATAAGACCTACTTCCAAAGGGTGTGTGTGTATATACACACCAGTTCCCAGGCTGGTCTCGAACTCCTGACCTCAAGCGATTCTCCTGCCTCAGCCTCCCAGAGTGCTGGGATTACAGTCGTGAGCCAACCCGCCTGGCCTTCCAAAGGTTTTTAAAACATGAAATAAAACATCAACTACTAGAGGTGAGGCACAAACCTACGGAAGTGACTGCCATTTACAGGGAGCATGGAAAAGATGAAGACCAAGTTGGCAACTTTAAAATGGGGGTCTCGCTGTGTCACCCAGTCTGGTGTGCGGTGAGGATCATAGCTCACCATAGTCTCAAACCCCTTGGCTCAAATGATCTTCATGCCTTGGCCTCCCTAAGCACTGGGATTATAGGTGTGAGCCACTGGCACCTGGCCCTGTTGGTTTGGTTGAAGCAAGTAATCCCATACATGGAGAATGGTAGGAAATGAGGTAAGAGTGCTACCGGTGGAGGGTGTCCAGGTTATTGACGTTTTGAACAAAGAATTGGACAAAATGCACAAAGCAAGGAAAGAATGAACCAACAAAAGCAAAGATTTATTGAAAACCAAAGTACTCTCCACAGTGTACTGGATACAGAATCTTCTTAGGTCCAAATACCCGCTAGAGATTTCCCATTGGCCACTGGTGTTCTCCTCATGCAAATGAAGTGGTGGCCACAATCAGTATGATTGGTTGTGGAAAGCAACCAATCAGAGGCTGAAGTAAAGTTACAAAGGTCACACTCCTATACAAACATCTGATTGGTTGTGGAAAGCAACCAATCAGAGGCTAAAGTGATGTTACTAAGTTGCACTTCTATGCAAAGGAAGATTTGGTCCGCAATCAGACTGATTGGTTGAGGTACCTTCAATTTCCATCTGCCTGTCAGAAAAGGTGGGGATTTGCAAAGGGAGTAGCCGCTGCTCCTTTTGTTACTTAGGTGTGGAAATTTGGGGTTTACCTTTTGATTTAGTTCTAGGAAGTCAGCGTGAATTGGCCTTAGGTTCCCTGCCTCCAGACCCTATTCTGCTTCAGGAGACGTAGCCAGAAAAATTTCATTTAAGGGCCTTTTATGCCAGATTTGATACTATAGTCCATGTTTATCTAATGTGATCCACAGGGCATCTGTAGCAATTATTTGGGTGTGGGTATTGTTTCTTAAAGTTGCACATTGCACAGCTTAACCTTACAGTGATCACCTTCTGATTGAACTTTCTTAATTTTTCTTTCAAGAAGGCAAATCTTCTCTGATTTTCTTTGTATCACTATGGTCATTTCTTTTCAGTTTCTTTTGCTGGTTGCTTCGCATGTCCCCATTCTCTAGAGTTTCTCACATTTATATATCTAACCCAGATCTTACATTCGAAGCCAGTATAACTGAAGCAGAGCGAGCAAGGTGGGGAACTGAGGGACATGATGGATAAAAGTTATGTGGAGACCTGATCATGCAGAGCTTTATGGGACATCATAAGGACTTTGGCTTTCACTTTGGGTGTGATGGGAAGTCATGGAAAGATCCAGAGCAGAAAAATGATGGGAGCCACTGAAGAGCTTTTAAGCAGGGGGTGGCATGATCAGAATTGCATTTTGGGACATTCTGTTTGGTACAAGGTAATGAATGTGACTTGAAGGTAGGTGGCTGAGCCTGGAAAGGTTACATAGCTCTAACAGTCACTCTTTACTCCATCCTCCTTTATATCTAGTCATTCATCAAATCTTACCTCTTCTATTTCCTAAGTAGCTCTTGAATCAATCTGTAACTCTCCATCCTTACTGCCATATCTCAAGTTCTGTACGACACAGTTTTATGCCTGGGTTACTGCAACAGCTTCTTCCTGCCTCCATCTTGTGTCTCCAATCTATTCCACACATTGTAGCCACAGTGATTTTTAAAAAGACAAATCTGATTATATTACCCAGGATATAATTTCGTTCCCCATCTCCCTCAGTTTAATATGCTCACACGTCCTCTCTATGGCTCTTGGCCACTTCTTTAACCTTAACTCTCACTGTTATAACTTTCTCCTTAGCCCCAAATAATTTCTTTCAATTCCTGGAACTGCTTGCAGTGTGTGGGTCTTTCAAGATGTTGTCTTCCTTCTGCCTGGAACAATCTCCCTTGCTTCCCAACAACCCCTGCCTGGCTAACTCCTACTCATTCTTCACATCTCTTCTCTCCTTTATCCTTGGTTTTCAAGTTTGAATATAATGTGCGTGGGGTATGGGTATGGTTTTCTTTGTATTTATCCTGCTTGTGGTTTGGTGAGCTGCTCAGATCTGTGGGTTGGTGTTCTAAATCAAATTTGAAAGAAAGATTTTTGACCATTAATTCTTCAAAAAACGTTTTTGTCATTTTTCTCTTTTTCTGGGACTTCAAAAATACTTTATGTTAGACTGGTTAATATTGCCCACAGATCATGGTGCTCTGCTCATTTCCCCCAAAACATTTACTTCTCCCTGTGTTTCAGTGTGGATAATTCTTACCAACCTATCTTCAAGTATTTTCTAGTTTCCAATTTAGTTCCAAAACACATCTAATAAATTGATTTCAGATATATTTTTGTTCTAAAAATCTGTTTTTTAGAATTTTTCTCTTGAAATTTCCTTCATTCATCTTTTCCTCTATATTAAAAAAAATGTATAAGTTTTTAAAAAATCCTTATCATGCCAATTTCTGGTTCATCTATGTGCCTGCTTCTATTGACAACTTTTTCCTAATTATGGGTTGTGTTTCCTGCTTTTTAGCATGTCTTATAATTTTTAATTTTATTATGAACATTGTGAAAAAAAGAACGGAAAGTTCAGTGAGAAATGGAACATTCAGATTCATTCACACTTTGAATTGAGCTGATGCTGGGCTGCAGCTTTAGATGAAGTTCAGCTGCAGTTAATTCAATTCAACCTCCTGCAAAGGACTGAGCTCTTGGATCTTGTCAGTGTTTGTGTTAGAGAGGGAGGGATGGGCCATAGTTTCAGATCATTTGGTTCACCTTCGGATTCAGCTTTAGCAGGGCTCAGGAATCCAAGCACACTGTAAGAATGTGCAAGATTCAGTGAATTCTCTCTACTTACTGAAAACATTTCTTCCATTGCTGCTTTCTTAGCAATCTTGGGTGTGGGATGTAGGCCTAAGTGATTTATTTTTGTGATTGAGGTCCTTCCAGATCCAAGTCTGTCTCACCAGCCTATACCACTGGCAAAGTCTCAGCCACCTTCTCCTTAACTCTGCAAAGTCTCCTAGAGTGTTGTAGGCTTGTTCTTCCATCTACTTGTATCCAGACCACGCCCTTCTCCCTGGGCATGGCAATGCCACAGCTCTCTGTTAAACTATGTTCCTCCAAACATAGGCATGACTGTAGAATTTATTTCATTAAGGTCTTATATACATGGCTTTTCAACAGCCCCATAAAAAGTATGATTTTTATCTGGTTATTTCTTATTACCACTATGTAAAAGGCTTTCATGCATCTTTCTGTATTCTAACTTGTAGCAGAAGTCTTAACATTCCATCCTTAGAGCTTTCCTGAAGCCACAGAGATTAGATTAACTGTTCGTACATGCTTCTGTAGCATTCTCTGCTTAACTCTATCATAGCACATATAACTGCCTGTTTGAAAGCCTGCTATATTATCAATTTAGGGCAGAGTCTCTGTTAGTTCACTATTAAGGCCCTAGCCCAATGTTTGTCCTATAGTAAACGCTAAGTATCTTCTGAGTGACATTTGGGCTTAATGAACCTTGTACTTCCACATCCTACTTGATATTTCATTAACCTTTGATTTAGGTGGGACTCACAACTCTGGGTACTCCATCAGTCTCCCTGAGCAGAATTCCCCACTGGTCAGCCTAGCCTTCTTCTCTAGAGCCAAGAGAGACTCCCAGCCAGGAGAAAAAAATCAAACAAACAAACAAAAACAACACAGCAACTTTATGGTTATAGTTATGTATAAGTAGCAGGCATTTATATATGTGTATGTGTGTATATACATGTATATGATATGGTTCTATACACAGTTATGGGCCACAAACCATTTCCTCAGTGATGGACTACATATTAGAGGGTGGACCTATTACAGTAAAAGGTATAGTATTTTTACTACACCTTTCCCGTGTTTAGATACACAAACACCATGGTGTTACAATTGCCTATAGGATTTAGTACAGTAACATGCTGTACAGGTTTGTGGCCTAGGGGCAATAGACTATAAAAAAAAAAAATTGTAAAACGGTTTGGTTTTTAGAGTGGCAGTTTCTTTGCCTCCTAGGATATTTGATGATTACTGTTCGTCAGTCATCCTTAGCTCCTCAGAGCAGGGCCATTCACATTTTAATAACTGATTTCCAGGACTATTAAAAACAATCTATACCTAGAAGTCTTGGCCAACCACCAGATGACCTTTGAAGTATGTACTCTTTCCTTCAGGCTTTCTTGCACTGGTAAAAATGAAAAGTATTGCCAGATTTCATTTACTGTAGTGAATTTTGGGGGCCAAAAAGATTGTAATGAATACTGATTTCAAAGACTATGTGTGCCACCTCCGTGTATTCATTTTATAAAAAACTAAGAATTTTTCAATTTCTTGAAATGTTTTCATA